TTCTCCAGAATAGCAATGACAAATCACTGGCCACATATCCTACATAGGTGTGCTCATGTAACACCCACACACCAAGTGAGGTATATTTTCCAACCCAGCCACTCCCGCCACTCAGAACCTACAGACAGTAACAGGTTACTCAGCAAACGAACGTAAGCTTTCTCTAGATATCTTCCGGTGATATGCTTAGTCATTTTCATGAAATGCTCTGAACAAACAGAGGATGCACCAACTTCCAAGAGAGCAAGAGATCAGATGTGGCCCTAGTTTTCAGATAAGCAACCTGGAGTTTCTTCTTACAAACACAGTAAACAAGAGTAACCTGCAACAATGATACAATGGCTGGAATTTATGCTTCTGTATATTCTGAATTTGTGATGCCTTTATTGCATTGAGTTTTATTAAAATTATAGACCCTGTTCACGGACATTCTGAGGGTGGTTCACACCGGCCTTGTTTAGTCCGGTCAAAAAGAACCCTGGAGCGTTTACCACCTTGGTGCATTTGGATGGGTTTGTTGCCTTTTTACATGTCAACTGTATGACCAACAATAAAATGTAAAAAATGCAGTTTTAACCATATCGCTTTTGTTTACAATTTCTGGCCCGTTTTGCCTTTGTGAAAGCAAACTGGACCAGTTGGAAAATTGAAACAATGTATCATCGTCGGATTGGTTTGCCTCAGTTAGGTTAGGTGTAAACCTGCCCTGAAGGTGGGGTTAGCCGTACCAGGTGCAACAACTACAACTAACAACTACATTCGTTTTACATTCTGTTCAACACCATAACAAAAACTTTTGGGTGTTCCTGAAACAAAATCTTACTAAAGAGTGTGGAAGGCCTTGGTGTTTCTAACCTGAAGTGAAGCAGAACGTCGGATGATGTGTTTTACCTTAAAGTCGAAGCTGCAGAGGCTGACTGCGTCGCTTTCATCCTTCTCCCTGCGCTTCCGCTTCTGTGGAGAAATTAACAGGCAGACTGTTAGCTGGAAAACTCAACATGCATCACTGGAACAAGTTGACGAATCATTAAACATTCTTATAATGCAGAATGTGAGGAGTCCTGTCCACAAGTAGCAGGAGTCTGGAATACACACTGAATACAAAGTTTATTCAGATTTTATTCTCCCAGCTGCCTCCCCACTCTCACTATAGTAGCAATACAGATGGTTAAAGTATCTGTTAAACAGAATAATAATAAATAATAATAATAAACTAAATACATTATCTCAGATTGGGATCCTCTAAGCAAACACAAATTCTTGGAGTTTCATGCATTTCTTTGGAGAGTCCTGATTGAAAGAAAGAATAAAAGAACCTTGCATATGGAAACAACCAACATGTTGCGTATATTTATTTATTTAGTGTAGTTTCTGCAGTACGCATCCTTGTCTGGGTGCCAATACATGTAGAGCAATTCACAGCCACCTTATCCCCCCACTCATACTTTAGGCCAGTTACACTTATTGCCCCTATAGCTCTATTGTAAAGCTACAACAGACACTGCTGGAGGTCCTACTAGGCACAGGAAAGGGTTAATTAGGCAGCGAGGCACTTTAACACCTGCATGTGGACTGACTGACAGTCAGTCAGTCAGGGAGAGTCAGTTAGCAGGTGAGAAGGGTAGTCTGGCCTGTTGTTAAAGCCCTGAGGAGCAATGGCAAACCTCTGGGACCCCCGGGGCTCTGTTACCATGGTCCATTAACGATAGAGGTCAGACTGCTTCTGGCTGGACTCACAGAACGTCAAGACCTGATTGACCAGTGAGGTGAGGAAGGCCAAAATGGACACATAATGGTCAAGGGTGGCTGACGATCAATGACTGAGCTGTTTGTTTGTTTGTTTGTGTTGAAGCAGGGTGGTGCAGGGCATTTCCCCTCTGGCAGGGTAACCTGTTTGTTTTCCCACATCAGTAAAATTTTAAATGCTATCTGCTTAACACCTTTAAATATTTCCCACTGCATGCATTCCAGGTGGTGTTGTGACTGTTAGCCTTAACTTGCATTGTTTGTTTAAAGTTGGCTGCATCTTAATAGGAGGCTGTGAACAGAGCTGCAGACAACAAAAGATTGTGTAATTCACTTTTACTCAGCAAACGTTCATTCAGTAATCATAACCCGCAGCTGAGCAGAACAGAGAACTTTTACTGTCTGTTTTAAAGCTAGCGAAGTTATCTAGCATCTGAAGCACAGGGGAGATTTTTGTTTTGCTCTAGTTGATTCTTACTTCGGGCTAACCAAGGTGTTGGAAACAACAGATGAAACTTTACTTGGTCTTCAGAAGCTGCAGCGTTTAGTAAATGACACACTGTAACCTACACTGTATATTTATTGCCAGATTGACAACTTCACTGTCACTTTTGTGCTGTATGCTCTCTCTCACTCGCTCAACCACATACAGTACATTATGCACTGCCCTATTCCCTAAAGGAGCTACAGTACTCTTAACAACTCCCCTGGTGCTCCTAACTCCCAATCTAGGCAGAGTCAGCTAGTGGTAATAGAACCGCTAGCTGCATGGCTAACTGAGTTGACTAATGGCAACTACAGTGAGCAGCATTTAGCAGTTACTGTGGCAAAAAATAAAGCTATCTGTTCCATCAGGAAACTACGTAAATCACAGAGTTGAGACCAAGCAGCTGGAGGACATCAGACAGCATGTTTTGTGAATAAGCAATCCACAAGAATCCATTTAGATCCTGCAAATATGAATGCAATTTTACAGAATTAGACAATTAGAATTAAAATGTGAACAAACCATTTACAAGAAATTAAAGTGAACTCAATCGACCTGCTGTAGCCAAGCCTGAGCACAAACCTTCCTCCTGGTCCACATTGACTTAAACTGGGTGCTCACCTGACCATAATCAAACACATCAAGGGACATTGCTGCAGAGGGGATTGTTATCAGGTTTTGTGTCTTCGCCTTGGACCGACAACATCTCATGTTTTAATTTTGTTTTGAAGAAGGAAGCTGCGCTCTGCTGCCACACTGGAGACAGGCCACAGTTTTGAAGTCAGGGAACATTTCTCCCCAGGGAAGTGATCAGAAGATAAATAACGGTGCCAGCTCAACATTGTGATGCCTGTCAGCCATCGTTGATGGCCGATGGCCTCGTCTATCTGCCAAACTCTAGAGGAAATATTAACATTTTCTTTTTGGAACATGACATTCATGCGGTTCATCGCAGCCAAGACGTCAGTCAGAAAGTAAGTCAAGGCAGGGAACATGTACCTTTGGAGGCGCTTTCTAATTAAACTGGGCAGTCTTTCACAGCTTCCTCCCCTACAAACTCCAACATCAGAGAAACCCAATTGGCACGTAAGCCCTTAACGGCTCTCTCCAGCGACAGCCAATGGTTGTGTAGCTGATGGTTGTTTAAGGCTCAGCAGGTCGTGTTCCTCCATTTGGTTTAGTCGGTGTGTTCAAATGGGGGAATTGTGTGCAGTGAATGTTTACGAGGTAGGGACGTTTGTGCAACTCCAGCCTTTCGACCCACCATCACACTTGCTCCATCTCTTCCCAGGGCATCGACCTCAGCGATAGCTACACCATGGCCTGATAGTACATCTTTTATTTTTGCTGTCATGCACTCTGCAGTGCCAGAAAGTTTTACATAATTGCCAATGAACACAATTTCAGGCACATAAAAAGGCCAACTGTGATCTCTCTCCCTCCCAGATAGATAGATATAGAGATAGAGAGACAGGTAAAGACAGAAAGAAAGAGAGAGAGAGAGAGCAAGAGAGAGAGAGTGAGAAAAAATTGGACAGTATCTGTGTTTGTGTGCAGGAGATGTGGGGAAAAATAGAACATTCAGGTTATAAAAATGTTGACAAAAGGGAGACAGAATAGCAGTGGTGGGTACAGAGAAGCAGGTCAGCTGAAGTCTGCAGCTTATTGCACTTGAAGTGTGCGTGCTAAATGGGAATGCTTCATCCAAGCTAAATATTGCCTTAAGCTCAGGTCTTACACATGAGATAAAAACGTCATTAGAGTCATTGCTGGGCAAAAACTGACACAGTGGGGAAAAGAAGACGAAAATTTGCCGTCCTTTTCCTGCCACCTTTGGAAATCCCTCTGTCAGCAGCCTGCAGATGAAATAACACACTCCAAGCAGCGACTTGCTCAAATGGGTGGGCTGGGCTCAATGTAAACACTCAAAAACTCAGCCTCCCTCTCTGCTCATTACACACACACACACTCAGGCAATAGAAATGACTGCAACCTGGTTACTCTGTTTCACATCTGGGTAGACAAGGATGATGATGTACACATACAAAAGAAACAGCCATAATGAACAGCTGCAAATACTACACACGCTTCAACACTTTAAAGATAGAAAATGAGGGGGTTTGCTTTACCGTCTTCAGACACCAGCCAGAGGCTTGGTCTGCTGCCTGTCAGATTCAAACAATATTTTAAGTTTAATTTTTACCATGACATGGGTTGATCGTTCAAAGAAAAATCCATCCTTAGACCTGAAAAACTGGTTCCTGTCTAATGAAGGCCAGGGTCAGACTGAGCAAACTAGCCAAGAAATGTTTAACTCATACAGTTTGGTGGAAAGGAAGACAAATATTGACTGTACGACAGGAAGAGGTGGAGGAAGAAAGACGGAGCTAAAAAACAAACACAAAAACAAGACACAGATTCGTTTGTGTTACCAAAGGTAAACATTCAAAGGCTTTGGCAGAGTTGCTTGTGGAACAGTTCTGCAAAAATAAGTGTACTGACTTCAACTGAAAGTGTGAAAGATTAACTGTATACTCTGTGAGGGCGTGGGGGCATGGCAACAAGCTGGGTGGAGTGCCCCCCTCCCCCAGCTGTCATTGTTCTGCTCCATCTCAGGTGACATGTAAATGAGCTGGTGTGCTGATTTAGAACACATGCACCCAGACCTAGCAGTGTTCAGACTGACATCAGCACTATGTGAACAAAAAACACAGCCACTTTAAGAGACTACTGTGTGCTGGGGACTGCTGCAAAGTAACGTATGGTGAACCTGGCTTAACTTCGCTCTACATTGCATGTCATTCCTGGTACAGTACTTTGTAAGGTGAGAAAGTGAATAATTCTACTGTTTCCCCCTCAGTCGTTAAGATGGAGGCTCAAATGATAACTAGTGATAACTTTCCAGTTGTAAAATCCTTCTTCATAGTATACACTGCAGTATTTGTGGGTCTGAAAGTTTTCAATACTGATACCTTGACTTTGATACCGGTTACTTTTTTTGATACCAACTTTATAAAATCCATTTTAACAAACTAAATGATACATTTTGGTACAATTACTCACTTCAAAAGAAAGAAGCAGTTAAAAAAAACTGGGAGTAGCTGGAGAAACTGTTTTTTGTCTTTCTCTTTGCTAAAGAGCATGTGCAGCTCTAACAACCATCCACCGTGATAAAATTAGGAGTATTTCTCTACGTTTACCAAGGGCAATACAGTTTTTCTCTAATGCTAAAACACAAAAGCCAATCCTCTAAACCAAATGACCAGTTGTCTAAACACATTTACTAAATCTAGCCATCATTTTCCAATATCATAAACACATTTCACATGAAGACACAATTCACAAAACACAATCCTCCGTTCACATAAATCTTAACACATTTTTCCTTGCTAAAACACAAGTTGCAAAAGAACTCTGCTCATATTCTCAAATGAAAGCTCATGTGATGCAAAATGCTTGCCACAGTCAGCAATATTTGAACAAAATGAACACACCTGGCGTCATTCATTACACACAACGACTCAAAATTGAAAACACCTGTTGCAAATGCTGTGACCACATGTATAAAAGCAAGTTCAGAGTGCACGGTTTGCTGAAGATTCCAAACAAACACAATGGATGAAGGCAGAGTCAGGGGAAGAGGTAATCCGAGTCAGAGGAGGGAGAAGAGCTGGCCAGGGAGGAAGAGGAGCAGGCCAGGAAGAGGAGCAGGCCAGGGAGGAAGAGGAGCAGGCCAAGGAAGAAGAGGAGGAGGCCAACAAGGGAGAGGAGAAGGTCCAGGAGGGAGAGCAAGACAACCTCGCACCATCATTACGGACGAGATGCGAGCAACAGTCATTGACCATGTCATTGTCCATGGCATGACAATGGCTGAAGCAGGACTAAGAGTCCGTCCAAACCTGAGTAGGTTCACCGTGGCCACCATTATCAGGGCATTCAGACAACACAACAGGTATTGTACTCTATTGCTTTCTTTGTCACAATACAATTTTACAAGCCTGTGAAAGTAGTCTATTAGTTTCAAATCAGTTGTTACTGTATTGTAAAACATGTCAATTGACAACACGTTTCTTTCTTTAGAGTTGAAAGAATGCCACATAGAGGTGGGAGGGTTGCCATATTTACAGCGGCACAAGAAACCCTCATTGTGGATATGGTTCGTGAGAACAACCTCATCAGACTCCGGGAGATCAGAGACAAAGTCATTGCCGATAATGTGAACTTTGAGGGCATTGATGATGTCAGCTTGGCCACAATAGACCGAGTTCTCCGGCGCCAAAAGATGCGGATGAAACAAGTCTATAGGGTTCCCTTTGAGCGAAACTCTGCACGACACAAAGACCTACGTTACGAGTATGTGCAAGTAAGTATAGATCCATGTTCACAGTACAGTTAGTGAACATACTGTGTTGCTCAGTGGCCTACATTACTTCTGGACAATACTATGCTACCTGATTGACTGTTGTTCTGAACACCTGTGCACTTTCACATTTTCACAGAGGATATTACAGTTGGACGCGATGGCCAGACCTCATGAGTACCTCTTCCTGGATGAGGCTGGCTTCAACCTGCAGAAACGAAGGCAAAGAGGCCGTAACATCATTGGCCAAAGCTAAAAGATATCCTCCTGGACCGCCAACAACACCATCCTGGGCCCGAACATCCCATTATGTGATCATTTGGGACAATGTACGCTTCCACAGAACAAACCAAATCAGAGAGTGGTTCACCACTAACAGTAACCACTTTTTAAACGTCTGTCTGCCACCCTACTCCCCTTTCCTGAACCCTATAGAGGAGTTCTTCTCATCGTGGAGATGGAAGGTTTATGACAGACAACCATACACTAGAGAGAACCTCCTAAGGGCAATGGAGCTGGTGTGTGTTGACATCCCAGTGGAGAACTTCCAAGGATCGATCCGCCATTCCAGGGCGTTTTTCCCGTGGTGCCTGGCAAGAGACAATATAGCCTGCGATGTGGATGAGGTGATGTGGCCCGATGCAGCTCAGCGACATGATGCCGCACAGTGATTGTGGTGTAAATAAAATAAATAAAAAAAACTTCACACCCTGATCATGTTTTCAAGAGTACTGTTGTGTGCAATAGATTCTGTTTTTGCATGAGTTGTGTTACAGTAGTGTACAGAATTTACTATAGATTTATACTCTTCATATGAAACTCACAAATCTAAATGCCCAATCCTCTGCAGAGATCTAAGAAGATCCATTATTGTAAAGTTTCTAAAAATATGCATTGGCAGTTATGAAACAAAGAACCTTCTCACAAATTGAGCATTGTGTTTTCAATTGTTTTGCTGTAGTGTGTAATGATGTGTATAGTGTTTACATTTTTGAAAGCTTCGAGCTGCTCTTTTGGTGTGAAAGTTTGAGTTTTGAAGGGAGAAGGTGTGGTTGTGTTTATGTAGCTTTAGAAAAGGGTGTTGTGTTTAGACATTGGAGAACATGGACGAAACGTTTGTGAAATGTGTTTTAGCATTTGAGAAAAACTGTAATAATCGCAATATCATTTTCCTCAATAACATAACAAATGTTCAATATATCGTCAATAAATGTTTGATTCAATTCATTAGAATCAAACAAATTAGCACTTCATTTTTCTTTTAAGATATTTATTTTGTTGAGGAAAAGGGACTGAAAAAAGATTTACTAATCATATTTTTTGAAAACAGATTTTATCATAATAGTTTTGAATGTTCTACCTCAGATCCACTATTTGGCATCAAGTGTTTGTCACGTTCTGACCATAAAGAAAAGTTTAACCACACAATTAACCATTTGGTTTCTTAAATTTTCAATCAGCCTTTAAACTTAAAGAAATAATGATTTCACATTTATTGTGATAATTATCAATATTGAGTGGCATGAATTCTTTTTTAGCGTGATAACATTTATGGTCATATCGCCCAGGCCTACGTTTACCTGTCGGTCTGACTGTGTTTTCGTTTTAAAACGGAGACCTTTTGCTACATTTGCACCGCCTGTCCAGACTAAAACGGCAAAATCGAAGACCTAAAACGGAGAAGTTTGAAAACGTTGCCAACCCCGTTTTTTGTTTTAAAACTCCAGGTAGTGTTTTAGTGGGGACGGGCAAAATAAGAGGACTCAGCAGGGCTCTACGGTGCGACCAATTTGCATGCATATGCCCCTAAACATCAATACGTGCGAACCGGAAAAATTACTTACTGAATGATTAACTACAACTTATTGAAATCCCCCCCTACCCCTCCCGCCATGCTGCTAATCATTCAAAAACATCCCTCCCCTAGTAGTGGGCAGAACACGACACAAAGCTGGTGTCAGTCAAATGAGAGTTGTCGAAACTGGCAGGACAAAAGCCAGCTAGCCACCGGAGCACCGAGAGAGATCCCGGTGGGCGGGTCACTCGTTGGCCGCTTGTGCAGCTCGTTACAAAAACAAAGACAGAGATGTCAGCAGCTGGAGCGGTGAAACAGAAGACAGTATGGAGAAGGTAAGGAGGTTTTGGGTTTGGCTAGCTGGATATTTAGCCATATCAGGTGCCCTTTGTTGAAACATGTTCAACTTTTCATAAAACTGATGTGCTCGCCACTGTCACTTTTTGTCAACTGACCAATCACAGCATGGATGGACATAAAAATGGTTAGACGTCCTACAGTAAACTTTCAAACGTGAACTTCTCCTTCATGAATGGTTCTGATTGTTGCTGAGTTAGTAGCATTAACAAATTAAGAGACCAATGTAGGCCATTTTTCTTTTAATTTTACTTTTAATGAATAAAAACAACTCACAAATACGAAACTGCTAGCCTCCTCCTGAGAGTAACACGTTCCACTGGTTCTATTTTCATCTGATTACTAAAGTTATTGTCATACTATTGAGTATTCTTGTTTACATTAGGTGTGGCATGGGTTTTGTGAGAGCTGATGGTGTATCGCAAGTTTTTTGTGATGAGTGATCAGTGTTTTAAAAGCTGTTTTCAATGTGTCAAATTTTCAAAACATCCGTTTCAATATTTTAAAACGCTTTAAAAAGATTTTAAGGCCAATGCCAAGTGTCCAGAAACAAGGGTCTTCACTGCCAGGGCTCCAGTGGTTTCACCACTGGGTAATCCATCCCCACAGTGGCGAGGAGAGGATGCACTGGGGATCATACAGGTTAGCTGTACTAACTAGCTAACAAGCAGCACAAAGTTAACTCATCTGCGCAGATGAGCAGCTGGTGGTAAAAAAACAAAACAGTGAGCACGGCCTCTGGGCATCAGTGTTTTTTTTATACTGGCTCACTGACACTGATGAGATTTACTCCTTGGTACCGATTGAGAAGGCATTTTTTAATATTCAAGAAATATGGTTCCCAGCCCTACTGGGGTGTCTCATTAAAATGGATGAACATCCACTAGGAGCAACACCTTGAATGCATCAAGTATCAAGAATTCAGTGATAAAAATTCTGCTCTTTGTGGAATGCTGAGGAATCTTCAGACATTCAGCGGTTAAAGAAGTCAGTCTTAGTTTAAATATAAATTGCTGTTGATACTGACAAAGCCTTCCCACAATAATTACCAATGTTTGCATGAAAAGCCAGACGCGACTCAGCATCTGACAGCCATATTAAATCATATCATCTGATTAAAGCTGGAATGTTGCATATCAGACAGACCACTCTTGAGGCCGACATCTCTGGCCGCCTGAACATGTTGCTTGTGGAGACAAAATACTCAGAATCTGACTCTTGCTGTAGTTAATTAACTTATCACATTCCACCAAATGGCAGACTGGTGTGCTCCACCTTGGCAATGGGCTGGAAACCTGACTCACATTCTTGCCATGACAGAAAGCCCCGAGGCCTCATACCTGATGTAGTCTGAGAGAATGCACCAAGCGCCCGGGGAATGCTGGCCACGCCTGCTTCCAAGGTTTGCCTGATGGCCAATGCACCCCCACCTATACCTGGCCATGCCCCAGTCAGGGCTAAAAAGAATCCTCCTAACCACTTCAAAGCCCAAAGACCTGGCTAGACTTTATTCAAAGTCTTGGCAAAACCTTCAAGCTTAAAGTGGCAGGGTTGAGATAAGAATGGCAATGAGACAAAGGCACTTCCAGGATTTTTTTTTATTTTAATCGCTTGCTGTTTGGTAGATTTATAAATGACAGATAAAATGAGGGGGGGAGTAAATTGAAAGGGTGAGCTAACGAGGTCCATATGGGTTCTGGTGGATGAGCTAAGTGCGCCATGTTTGCAAATCAAAGACAGCAGGCTGGCACGAGATAAAGAGCCACTGGCCTTCTCTCTAACCCTGCTTTCATTACTTCTCATTTGCCTTCAGAGGAGCGAGGGATTGTATTTTAGGCAGCTGTAAACCCTGAAATGCCTCCACATTCTTCATTCTGCATGCAGACTAATCTGTTCGCTCTTTTCTGTTTCTAATCTGCTTGTCTCATTTAAGGCTGACTGTAAACCACGTTCCTCTAACAGAGGGGGTAAGAAATCAGAGCAGGCTTGATTTCCTTGATCCAGCATTTGGTCTCTGATTACATGAACAGGCCTTGTTCAGCCATAAGGGAGCCATATAACAACAGTTGTTACAGTTCCTCAGTGAGGTAGGCCTATTAGAAGAAGATACACGCTCAGCGCTGGGAGTTGCCAAGGGGAAAGCTAGCCTGGAATGTAGCGCAAAGTTTAGAAATTTCAATTCACCGACAGCAATCCAAAACGTACCAGGATCAAGGCTGGTGATTGCTATGAAGGTTGAGTAGAGGCCAGATTCAGATCTTAAGCAGCCCTTAGTGAAACAAGGCCAACATTTTGGATGGGTAGTCCTCTCCAATGAACTTGTCAGACAGTCATAACTTCTGCTAAGAAGTCTGTAAATTTCATAGTGCACCACTTAAAGAATCCCTTCTCAAGCGACATAATTAGGTTACTGTAACATGTGATCAGTTTAACTACATTATAAGTAACGCATGTTAGGCAGCTAGGTCAAATGTCTATACCATTGCATCACGGGTTACTCTCATGTGCCAAAACAATCCAAAAGCAAAATGTTTCATTATGCTGTGGTTATGACAGTATTAGCCTTGCTAATATTATCTAAGCATACTGACAATGGAACAATCAAGGGCTAATGCTAAATTTAAGGTGGCACTGAGAAGCTCAACTTACGTTGTAGGCCAATTGTTGGCAAAAAATGGTAATATTAGTAAAGTCAGACGAGTAGTCCCAGAGTCCCTAATGTCAGTAACTTGTATAAACAAGTGGAATTTCGAACATAAGTGCGCTAGCTAACATTACACTAAAATTAATTACTAAAATTAAGTTAACACCTAACTCGTTATATCCAATCTGTGATGGCTAGCATTTGCTAAATCAAAACAACTTAACCATATTATTGAGGCACAATGACATCCAAAGTCAATACAAAGACACAAATTAAGGGAAAAGAATAGACAGAGTTGAAAAATATGTGTGTGACAAAGGGCTTTGTTGGAGTGTCATGTGGGGAGGACTGGGCAGAGTGGAGGACCAGAGCCGATGATTTCTATTTAATATATTTTCTCCTTTCTCTTGTTGTCTTGATTTCCTTTTTCTACATGCTTCATACACTCGTACATTGTCATTGCAACACATCCTTTCATTTGCACAATGACATGCCTACAAACTGAGTACTACCCTCACCTGCAATTATCAAATAATAAACATTAACTGTAAACATATGCACACTTCAACCAATGTAATGGTCTAGTTTTCTTTTTTTTGTGTAGCCACCAACATACATTTATTCACTGATGCATTGATGTCCATAAAAAAGGTTTTCTTTTCTTTATAATTAGGGATGTTCTGAGCCAATCCTAAGGATCGATGTCGGGGCCAATCCGCACATATATTTATGGATCAGTATTGGCTAGATTAGAGCCACTAAAGATCTGATTCTTTCTTTACTATACTCTACTGTGGTCTGTAAACTCAGCCTCCTCCTGTTGAAGCAAGCTGCGTGTGAATGTGAAAAATCTGATTGCACCGGGAATCGACTCTTGATCTGACAATGCTGTGGCACCAAGGCAGTTTGTATCTTGCC